ATGGAGATTAAAAAATAAACTTCTAAATAACACCTGGGAGGAAGATGGGCATGGATGTTAGCCCAGGGCCAGTCTTCCTCAGCAAAAAAAGAGGAGGATTGGCAGATGTTATCTCAGGGCTGATCTTCCTCAAAAAAAAAAAAAACAAATTGCAGAAGGACATAGTACCTTTTATATATATAAAATTTTTAAACTTGCTAAGCAATACTATACAATGGTAAGTGTAAAGATATGTGTGAGAAAGATAAATAACAAATTCAGGATAGGATTTCATCTCTAGGAGAGATGAAGGAGAATTTGATTTTGAAGGGGTACAGTGGGGGTTTCAACTATATATAAATTTATTCTTTAAGGTCCATTGTGAATATATGGCTGTTAATTATATTATTCTCTATATCTTTTGTATATCTGAAATATTTCATAATAAAAATAACTTAAAGATGACAGGAATTTAATTTTTAAAGATACAGTTAGCTTTAGGGAATATACTTAGGTTGGTTCTCATTTAGCCAAGTCCTCTGAAATTAAAACTGTTTTGGAGTAAAAACCCAGAGGGGCTACAAGATCTTCAGTAATCAGAAAGACCTTCTATTATACTCATTGTACAGTTCTTATGTGGACAAGGAAGTAGACCAACAATTTTCAGAAATATTTTCAACAAGGTTATGATGAACTAAAAAGAGAGGTTGCAATCTCTGGGTGGAATTGAGCCTGCAGACTTATTTTGTTTGGCCTTCATGGTACTCATATTTTCAAAAATATTGAATGTGTCTTTTTGTGTCTGTGTGTGAGGAAGATTAGCCCTGAGCTAACATCTGTTGCCAATCCTCCTCTTTTTGATGATGAAGATTGGCGGTGGGCTAACACCTGTGCCCATCTTCCTCTAATTTATATGTGAGATGCCTGCCACAGCATGGCTTGATGAGCCGTGCATAGGTCTGCACCTGGGATCCAAACCTGCGAACCCTGGGCCACCGAAGCAGAGCGGACAAACTCAATCACTACACCACCTGGCCAGCCCCATGAATGCGTCTTTTTTGAGATTTCATATTTTAAAAATCTGGATTGCTACCTATTTATTGTTAAGCTATCAAGAAATCTGGCATTCCTGGGGCCGGCCCTGTGGCTTAGTGGTTAAGTGCGCACGCTCCACTACTGGCGGCCTGGGTTCAGATCCCCGGGGTGCACCGACACACCGCTTCTCTGGCCATGCTGAGGCCACGTCTCACATACAGCAACTAGAAGGATGTGCAGCTATGACATACAACTAGCTACTGGGGCTTTGGGGAGAAAAAAAAAAAGGAGGACTGGCAGTAGATGTTAGCTCAGAGCCAGTCTTCCTCAGCAAAAAGAGGAGGATTAGCATGGATGTTAGCTCAGGGCTGATCTTCCTCACACACACACAAAAAATAAATAAATAAAAAGAAATTTGGCATTCATGGGCCCTCATTTCTACATGGCAGCAGCTGGCTGGGGCTGAGTAGCAACTGTCACCTTTCAAGAGGGTACTCCTCTCCAGTTGGCCACTGTCCCCATCCAGCCAGGTTCCCTCATTTTGTTACCTACCAGGCCCCAGAGGCACTTGAGTTTGCAACCCCTGCAATAAATGCAAGTTCTGACTTAATTAGAAAATTCACTTATCCTAAATGTGCCTTCTCCTAGGCACTCAGATTAGTGATATAATTTTACCAGAATACACACTAGAAGCATCATTCCTAAGATGTTCTGGTAAAGAATTTACCAGTTTAAAGAATAGTAAATATGAATTTTGGTTTTACCATGTTTGTAAAAATGGCTGTCATCGCAATTGGTATGGTTGAACAACAGGCACCTGTGGGATGGTGCACAAGACCAGCTGAGAGAGAGCTGGTATTCCAGCGCCGTTCTGGCCATGCTACCAAACAGATCTGTTGAGAAAGAGCAATTATTTCTAGACTAATTAAAGAGCTTGATTAAAAAAATGTACATCTGCCTAGCTGCCTACTGTCAAATTGAATTTTTATGCAAATTTTCCCTCTTCTATTTTGGTGAGACTGAAGATGACAACAGCAACACGACAAGAAGTTCTTGGCCTCTACCGCAGAATTTTCAGGCTTGCGAGGAAATGGCAGGCGGCATCAGGGCAGATGGAAGACACTGTTAAAGAAAAACAGTACATAGTAAATGAAGCCAGAATGCTGTTCCAGAAAAATAAAAATGTAAGTCGGCCCCAGTTGGAGATTGCAAGGAGGAGAACAATTTCTTGTGGTGTTTTTTCATTTCTTTTTTGTCCTAAAATTGAGAGGACTGAGCAGCACAAGACGCAGTGACAGAGCATGGGGCGAGAAGGGGCCAGAGGCACAGCCTAGCTAGGTTGCCCAACCACTGGGGAGCAGAGCCCAGCCTGGGTTGCTCTCTCGCTTGTTTCAGGTCTCAGTCCAGCTGGTAAGTGGCTCAGCATCCTCAGAAGACCCCATGAGCCAGGTGACACGAGTCAGGCCAATGAGAATTTTCAGGAGAGGAGCACTTCCTTACACACTGGGCCTGTTGCCGACCGCTCCCACAGGAGCTGCACAGTTAAATTTTCTTTTTCAATTCAGAAGTTATTCAAAGCCTCCAAGTTATAAACCATTCAGAGGGAAGAGAATAGGATTAAGACACAGGGTTCCCCTCATAACTTAGCTTTGAACTCAAGCCTCTTTGGCTAGCAGACTGAGTTTGCCCTTTGGGACCACAGAATTGGGTAAAATAGTGCCTCCTTTAGCGAGTTTTAACGGAACAGCACACCCAGACCCCAGGGAGCCGAAAACCATTCATAAGAGGCTTGATTTGACCCATCCCAACAAACCATAAAGCATTAGCTCTTAGCTCCTTAGGAAGACTGTCTGGCACTAAGCATGGAAAGAGGCTTTCAGCTCTTGACTTTTCCTGCCTCCTTCTCATTGATCTCATGGATTCAACGCTGTCACTGTTCCCTTCATGAAACTTCCTGACAGTCTAGTCTCTTTACTTTTCCCTCTCTGACCCCTGTCTCTGTCTCCTTTTTGGCCCTGTCTTCTCCGCACACCCTCCTGCCAGCTATAGGGGTCTGCTGAATGTCAGCCCAATGTCAGCCCTCTGCATTGAGGCCTGAGGAGCGTGCAACCACCTTATGGTTCTGGCTCCCATATCTGGATACCCAGCCTTGGCCTCTCACCAGCCACCTGAAGGCCCCAACCACAGGCATAATGGTCCAAAGCAGAACTGATCTTTCCACAGGAACACCTCCCCTTCCCAGCTTGCCCATTTCTGTCATAGCTCCTGTCGCCACTCGGCAACTCTTTGCTCTCATTCTTTTCTTCAACAAATATTTGAGTGCCCACCACGTGCCAAACACCAGACTAGACATTGGGAATATAAAATGAGCAAAACTGAGACAGGGTCCCTCAAAGGTGTTTCAGAGTTATATGGAAAGAAATGTAAAATTACAATTGGGATAAGCGCTACAAAAGACACCCTCCCAATCTACAGTACCTTTCCCTTCTTGGAATCCCTGAAGCCTCCCTGCTTTATAAGGCCAGCCTGCTTGTGAAGCTTCTCTCCGCCCTTCTGAGCCTTCTCCAGCTTCTCCAAACTTTTTCTGCTCCTAGTGTAGACCACGTGTGCCACAGCAGAGTGTATGTACCCTCTGAGGTCTTTGAACAGTCCTCTGAGGAATGGAAATAAAATATTGCAACTTATTTTAGTTATTGCATTCTTTACAAATATCTATTTTGTGTATATTTATAATGAACTTATTGGTACATTTAATGAACTTATTACTACATTTATAAATCAGTATAAATACGTATATGGGAGCTGTGGGCTCAGAAATTTTTACTGAAAGGAGTAGACGATCAAAAAGTTTGGAGACCACTGACCTACACCTACTCCTAAGTAGTCATATTCTCGTTTTCTTCTTGTTTGTTTCATTTATGTTGGTGTGGTCTCCCCAAACAGATTGTCAGTTATTCGAGCACATAGACAATGTCTTACATGGGCCCTGCCCTGTGGTTATAAGTAAATTAATGAGCATTTACAAATACTTTGATTTCATTGACCTTCTCCAGGAAGTCTTCCTCAATTTCTCTGCCCTCACCCCACCCCATAATTGTTCCTATTCTGAATTCCTCTATAGCAGTCTGCAGCAGTCATTGCCCTCGTTGATTATATACCACTCTGCCTTTTCTGTAGCTTCCTGTGTCGGAGTTGTTGTTCTGCCCAGGTAATAACCTTGATAGGCAAAGGCAGGGACCATGGCCTCACAGTGTCCAGCCTGGTGCTGAAGATATCATAGTAGTACATGCCCAGTAAACCTTTGCAGGCTCACCCACCTGAGGACTGCGCAAGACCCTTTGGGATTGTAGTTATGGCAATAATCAATCCTTCCTTTGCCTCTGTTTGAATTGGCCCAACTGAGCCAGAGGGAGGTGTATGTGCCAGTGATGGTACATGAGTGAGATTATTTTGTTGGGGGCGTGGGGTAGGGGGTGCATGGGTTTTTAATTTTAAGATATATACTTGTTTTACCGTATATTAGAAAGAAAACAGAATATCAGACAATTTCACAAATTCTGTGATTAGGAGAGAGTACATTTAAAGAAAAAGTTCAATATTAGTATAGGTGGTATGGTATATAGATATGGCAAAATCATGCAGGTAGCCTCTGAATGAGTGAATTTGGAAAACTCTAACCCAAACTTGTTCAGATGGGCAGCTGGAGCCCTAGGAGCCCTCAGCCCCCTTAACCATATCTTTATCAGGGGCTTCTTCCTCCCCAATTCCTTATGCGGACATAAGTAGTTTCTTGTAACCTCACTTGCTGTAAGAGCTTAATAATAATCCAAAGGTATCTCATGAGTTGCTCTGAATCCTGTTGGGCAAATGGGAACCTGGAAATCTATTCTCAAGGTGGACATTAGAATAATAGCTTCTTTTTTTTTTTTTTTATAATTTTATTTATTCATTTACTTTTACCCCCAAAGCCCCAGTAAATAGTTGTACGTCATAGCTGCACATCCTTCTAGTTGCTGTATGCGGGACACGGCCTCAGCATGGCCAGAGAAGCGGTGCGTCAGTGCAAGCCCGGGATCAAACCCCGGCTGCCAGCATCAGAGCGCGAGCACTTAACCGTTAAGCCACAGGGCTGGCCCAGAACAATAGCTTCTGAGAAGCCCAGAGGTCAGAAAGCTGAGCCTCTGCCCCAAGGGACTCAGCTGTGATTCTGTGCATTGCAGTTCCTGGAACTCTCCTCTGCCCCAAGAGGTACCATAGGACAGGAATGCCCTTGGAATTTCCAAGACACGCCGGCCCAGACTTCACTGTGGGTGTCATCTGGGGCTGATGCAATCCCAGCTCTGCTTTGAGGCCCACTTGCAAACTCTTAGCAGAGCCATGTGTTGACTCATTTCCCATCCTCGGAATGAAAGTGTTTCTTCCCTTCTCCTACCTGGTTTTCTGTTTTTCAGAATGAACTTTTCATTCCTTTACTTGAAACTGGACTACCATGATTTGACTATTTTGGAATTTCAAAAGTCATTTCTTCCTCTTACTAATGAGCAAGACAGTTTACAGTTCAAAATAAGAGGTGGATCATTCTCCAATATCTTACTCAGGGGGTTTGTAGACAGCATTGCTGAAGTAAGTTAAAATTGGGTTACTTTAAAGTTTGATCACCATGGGGAGGGTGTGGAGAAGCACTCTCCTTCAGTGTTGGTGGGAATGTAATTTATAGAATATTCCTGGGAATGTAATTTATAGAATATTCCTGGGAATGTAAATTGGTGCTATCTCCTAGACGGTAATTTGAATCTAGAGGGAATATCTGTGAGAATTAAAAATGCATGAACATATACTTTGTGACCCAGCAGTTCTCTCTCTAGGAATGTATCTTTTAGATATATTTTCAGGTGAGCCAAAAAATTTTTTAGAGGAATCCATAATAGAATTGTTTATAATGGCAAAAGATTGGAAATAACCTAAATGTCCTTCAGTAGAAGATTGGTTAAATTATGATACAGCCTTATGCTGGAATTTTGTGCAGCTGTTAAAAAGAATGGGGCAGCTCTATACGTGTAAATATAGGAGCTTCAAGTTGTTAGTAGAAAAAGCAAGGTTGAGAACAAAGTGAGCTATCATTCTGTGTGAGAAAAAAGAAACTAAGTATGTACATATATGCTTCCATATGCATAGAATGTCCCCAAAAGGACAAACAGGAAACTGCGGATAATGTTGTCTCTGAGAAGAGAAACTAGGAGACAGGGGCAAGAGGGAGACTTCGCTTTTTATTATGTCCTTTTGTATTATTTGAGTCATTTTTACCTTGTGCTTGTATTACTATTTCAATAATTTTTAAAAATTTAATCCACAGTAAATTTTATATTAAATTGTTTTTGATTTTTCAAATTATCCATATTTAATTTCCTGGCTGGTGAACTGAAAAAGTTTAAGAAAATGTACATCTATACTTTATGTAGCATTAGAAAGATGCTAATAGCCTCACCTGTTTTCCTCTTTTAATAGCTCACAGACACAGACCTGATTAAACAGTGTATAGATGAATGCACAGCCAGGATTGAAATTGGACTGCATTACCAGATTCCTTATCCAAGGCCAGTAAGTGTGACTCCAGTTAACATATGGTGGATACTTATCCTTGTCAACCCAGTTATTTCCAAGAATGTGTACCAAGAAGGCTAGTGTTTGCCAAGAAGTCTAGAGCTCCTGTGGGAGGCATGTTGGAAATAAGCTATCCTTGCATGCCGCCAACCCATCACAACAAACTAGAATGTCAATGAATGTCTGATTTCTCCTACTTGTACAACTTTCCCACATATGGAAGGGAAAGCCAGCTCACATTTTTATAGCTTTCTTTTTTGACTTTCACCTTTTTTATGGAAATATTTTTATTTTTCTTGTTATAAAAGACAGGTTTGTTGGTAATAAAAGAATAAAGTTCAAACATAAAGGGATGCATAAGGTAGACAGTGCAAATTGCCAAAAAGTCTCACCACGTGGAAGTGATGCTGTTAGACTGGACCATATGAAATTGCCAGTATTCTACTCTTGACCTACGAAAACAGCGATTTTATGTTGTATTGGCTCAACCTAATAGTTTGGTAATATATCCGTTAATCTTTTTTCCTATATTCATGTACATACATTTTCTTTACTTAAAGTACATGGGATCCTGAGCATACTGTTTACTGCCTACTTATTTTACTTTATCTCTTCTGGACATCTCTGCTCCATCTTTTTAAATGGTTGCGTTGTATCCTGTTGTAAGAATGGGCCATAATTTAACCAGTACCCTTTTAGTAGGCATTTAGGTTGGTCCCACTTTTCCACTAAGCACAGAACATCTTTGTACACACACTTTTTTTCTCACCTTCTTTGGATTCTCATCTCACTGTGTGGTCTGTGACCATTTTTTCCTCTGTGCAGGCAATATGGCAAAGAAGAGCACAAGCTCTGGACTCACACAGATCTGGATTCAAATCTTGGCTCCACCACTTAATGTATAATCTTGAGCAAGTTATTTAATTTCTAAGCTTCTATTTTCTTACCTATAAATACTGGAATAATTCCTTATGAGATTATTGTGAGGATTAATGTGTGTAAGGATTAATGAGTCAGTGTAGATTTAGTGCTTAGCAGAGAGCATGGTACTTAGTAAATCCTCAATGAATATAAGCTGCTGCAATGATTATAATTCTTAATATTATCATTATTCTTATTCTTATTCAGATTCATCTGCCTCCAATGGGCCTTATCCCACTACGAGGCCGGGGACTTCGAAGCCAGGAAAAATTGAGGAAACTTTCCAAACCAGTATATCTCAAGTCTCATGATGAGGTTTCCTAGCCCAGAAGAAAGTATATTTCTCTGAATGAGGAGCCACTATTTCTTGAATGTAAACCAGATGACAAAACCCTTCTCCTTGATTAGGGGCAAAAATTCAAATATCTTCTTAAAAACCTCCAAAACATTGGTACTCACCCCATGATGTATGCTCACACATCCCTACAGTTTATCAGGGTCCTGCTGCCTGAGTGGACGGCACTAACCATAGAGGTCATGGACCTTACATCCTCACTGAAGCATCATTTGGAAACAAGACTAAGATTTGTGGGAGGAAGACTGAAGAACGACAGAGCTTTTCATGGGAATGCCATTCACCAGACATGCCAGCTGATTTGAAGCAGCTGCTGGAAGTTCTCATGACTACTATAAAACTGTATACCACTCTCAGAATATTTTTAAGTTACAGATTTCCTGAAAGTAGGCTTTTTTTTCTGTTTTGTTGTCTTTTGACCCCTGCAGTTTCCAGATAAACTCCAGATAAACCATAATTATTGAATTTTATATGAGACTTATCCCTGCCCCCGACATACACATACACAAAAGCACGTCTTAGTTAAATGCGTATGTTTACTTTATCCTAAAGCCTGTGATTACTTAGGATGCACTCAGAATCTGAAAGGCTCACTTGAAACTCATACTGCATTCATTATGAGTATTTTACTTTAACATGATTAGAAAGTACAAGGGCCAAGCTGGCTTTCAAATTATGTCTAAACATAAATGGACTAAGGAGAGATCAAAACATGAAGATTTTACACCCTTACATTTGCGGAGTCAGGTGAGATTCCCACGGCAAGTCATTTGCACATCAGTATCATTCCCTCTTAGCTCCAAAGAGGATGCGCAGCACCAATAAAAACAAATATCTATCAAATTTGGTCCCTCTGTATTCTTTTCCAAAATGGCCTTGTGACCCTCAGCAGCAGCAGTTGATAACTTCCTGCCTGTCCGTAGATTTAGGATTCCCTTGTCACACAGATCTTCTCATTCAAAATAAGCACTGTTTCCATCTCGGTACCTGTGAGCAGGAGCCTACTTTTTCATGCTCAGGGTAAGTACTGCAGGGTTTGGCAATGACATAGAGAATATAATACTGTATCAGTGGAGTAATAGCATATGCATATTTAACACAATTGCAGCTAAAGGCCTTTGGTAAAGAGAGAAATTTAAATGGGCTGGCAGGTGTGCTGGGCATTCAATGAGCACATACCGCAGCCTGGCTTGAACTGGGAGACATGAATCTGCTGTTCCATCAGTCACTCTCCTTCCACCTGGTTTGTGTGGAAGCATCTCCCTGCCGAGAGGTGGTTCTAACATTTAAGGATTTCTCATGCAACATAGGGCCTGTGAACTCGAGCCAACTACTTCATCTGGTAGTTAACCAATGAAACAGTGATCTGTTCTTGCATTGAAGGAAAAGCTGGCTGTGATGGACTGAGTGAGACATGGCTTGCCTGTCTCCATCATGGTCCCTTTCTAAGTAACTCAAGGTGATTTTGACTGTACAAATTTTGTCTTACTCTGTTGAGTGTAGCAACCTTCCCACCCAGCCTCCTCCAAGATGGAAGTCCATCTAATTGCTAGCTAGCCTCTCAATATCTTCTGTGTGCCAGGAATCTTACCTAAATGTGAATTTTGTATGCCTAGCTTTCTTTGCAAAGATGCGTATCCAATTACACAAAAACATAATTGTCAATTTCCTACCAAACCTTCCATGTAACCTATATTTGTTTGTAATAGCTTTTTTTTTTTTTTCCATCTTCTATGCAAGACTATAAAATCTTCATCTTTGGTCTTTTATAGGCAGAACCTATTTCCCTACATCTCCTCTTTGAATGAAATTTTCTTCCAATGTTGACAAGGACTGAAAACTATACTACTCAGCTAGATTTTGCAAGAGCAAGGGCTAGCTTGGTAACAAGGTTTGTCTGATGTCATCTGCTGAGCTATTTATAGGCAGGGCCTGCAGCTTCTCACCAGGCTGATCGCTGGCCATCTCTGCCCCAGGATTCCAGCCTCTAACTCACCAGGATTTCTGAAGAGCATACTGCTCTTTCCCAGTGGGAGACATTAATTACCACATTGGCCCCAATAGAAAATGACCTTAAATTTAGGGCAATCTTTCTTTTCAAAGTGGAGGAAATTTTTTAAATTACAAAAATTTAATCCATCATACGGAAACATTCTGTCCCTTGACCCCTGAGGAATGAAACAGTCAGTCTCTGCCTCCCTCAGCTTTTGGTTGCTGAAGCTGGAGTTAGATAACATTAAAAATCAATTGTTCTCTCAGCAGCCCCCCTCACTGCCTTACAGTTTGCAACGTGACTTACCTAATCGGTCCAAGATTCAGGGATTTGGGATCCTGACCATCTTTCCAGCTCACATGACTAACAATCTTATTCGGAATGATACGGCAGTTCCAGCTATCTATTCATTCTGAGTTTCTTTCCCTCATTAGAAAAAGTTGCGTTTTTTGAAAAAATAGCTATTAAGCTACCTACTTTGAGTTGAAGGAGATTGGCTCCTCCTACCTCTTTATTGCCCCCGGCAAGATTTGGAGACCTCCCTTTTACACTTATTCTCTAGGATCACTTAGATGATTTGCTGATGTTGGAATTCAGAGTCCTCAATCACAATTTGATTGGCTCCATGTTCCCACAAAGAAACAAGGTTTCTGGAATATGTTTATTTGGTTCTCAGAAGCTTCCTGTGTTCAGGAAAAATCAAAGACCAAGTCAGGACATTTCTTCTGATGAAGAGGCAGAGAAGCCAGGCCAGACACATTAAGACACTCAAACAAACAGCCTTATGTCTTTGCTCAACTATGAACTGACCAATGGAATGCCCTGAAAGGAGATACATAGAGCCAAAGAGCTACATGAGAGTTTGTTGCGAAGTAATACATCAAGAATTTGATTTTTATCTCTCCATGATTCTCTTCCAGCTGGCCCTGGGGAGAAAAAGTGATAAACTAGAAATTTCTTGGACATGGTTGTTGGAGCTACACGTCTCCTAAGATTCTACATCACAACATAGCCAAGGCCTTGGCAGGGAGGCAGCATGTGGCAGTGAAAAATGCATGGATTCTAGAGCCAGACAGACCTCAGCTCAAAACCTGGCTGTGTAATGTGAAAGAGCTGGGTGATCTTAGGTAAATTACTTAATCTCCCTGAACCTCCAGAGGGAGAGACAAGCATACCCACCACATAGGAACAAGCAAGATATCTAAAGGCCTGGGCACAACCCCTGGCCACAGTATGCATGCAACACATGTTGGTTCTCTCATGTCTCCTTTCTTCCTGCAATTTCAGCCCATCTGTGTAGGCCAGTAGAAAAGCTTTTGGGTCCCAGTTCTACCACTGACTAGCTGTGGAACTCTGGGCTAGTTACTTTTCTAAGCCTCTGTTTATGGATCTCTAAAATGGAGATAATGATAGTACCTACCTCATAAGATTGTTGTGAGAAGCGCATTTTAAATATATCAAGAGCCTTAAAAAATATAAGTGGCCCAAACCTCTTTCAACCTCTGAGAGGCCCTGATGTTAGCCCATGTGGACAGACTGGGAAAGAAGCAATGAAAATTCAGTGACAGTTATAGCAAAATAACTGGAAAAAAAGAACTGCAGGGGAGCTTAGCCAAATGGCTAAAGGTCTAGATTGAAGAGTCCCCCATGGCCTATGTTCAAATCCTGGCTCTACTATTTTAGTAGCTATCTGATCTGGGGATTACTTACCTTCTCTGTATCATGGTTTTCGCACATATAAAATGAAGATAATAATAATAACCTACTTTATAGGGATCCTCTGAAATACCTGGCTCATAGCAGGTGCTCTATTAATATAACTGTCATCATCATCACCATCATCATCATACCATGAAACTCTCAAGAAAAGAAACCTAGGTTATAGTCGAGAATGAAATGCCTTTTATTTTCTGTGTTGAGACAGATACCATCAGTTATCCAGCTGGCATAGTGAGGCTACCCCTCGGTTTATCCAGTGCTTCTGGGGCCTGTCTGTTTGGAGTTCAATGGAGAGGACATAGTTGGTGGAGTGGCCTGTGGTGGAGAGGATGCCTCTCCGGGCACTTGTTTTGTAGACTGGACACACATAAATATTCTGATGCAGAAACATCGCACTTTCCCCAGGTTTCAGCCAAATAATGGGCAATGGGTCATAGAGGATTTTAGGGAGAGACTCTCCAATTTGCATCGATTTCCTGTCCCAACGGGCACCTTCTAAGAAGAGTCCTTTTATGTAGGCCCCATCTTCTGGGTTACTCTCCATGACCGTTTCTTGTGTGGTTACCTGGAAGAGAGGAAGTTGGGAGTTTCATTACCTGTCATTTTCCTAAATGGGGCAGCATTAAGAGATTGGAAAAGTGCAACCTGGCTGCAATGTCTGCCTTTCCCAGGATGCATCTCCCAGGGCATTTCTGGGGCTTCTGTGATAATATTCCTACCTGCCATACGTGGGCCTAGTCACCATGCTGCCCTTATATATGGTGGGCATAGAGAATGCACTAAGGTAGGAGTCAGGAGGCCACATTAACTCTAACTAGCTTAGTGACCTTGCACAACCTTCCCTTTTCTGAACCTGAAACTATAAAGTGAGGGGTTAGATTCAGATGCATGTTGGTAAAACAGTTCTTGGGGGGGAAAAAAATAAAGCCTTGATTTGTAGTTTTTGTCAATTTCTATAGTGTATTGACTCTCACCATGGTCAATTTCAGGCTATCAACTGTTTAACAACTAGCTCCAGCTGGCTCTGTTGAGCTGGTATGAGCCAGCTCCAGCAACCACTGTTTAGATTCAGAGGTAGTAAACTCAAATTCCGTCAGGTAAGAGCAGAAAATGGTCTAGGTGTAGGAGAATAGGGAGTGGTAGGTGGGGATTATGGTGAACCAGAGAGCACAAGCTCCATTTAAAATCATTCACATTCTAATCTTTTTGTTACTGTGAATGGAATGTTTTTCTCATTTCTGCTTCTAAGTACTTATTGCTAGAATAGTAAAAGGCTATTGATTTTTGTATATTTAACCAGTGTTCAGTCACCTTACAAATTCTTTTATTAATTCTAATAGGTATTTTTAGAGTCTCTTGGGATTTCTAGGTATACGATCATTTCAACATCAAAAAAGATGGTTTTACCTTTCCTCCAATGCTTATCCCAGTTATTTTCTTATTGCATTAATTTTGGCTTAACATTGTTTTCTTTTTTTTCTTTTGTTTAAAGATTTTTTATTTATTTATTTTTTCCCCCCAAAGCCCCAGTAGATAGTTGTATGTCATAGCTGCACATCCTTCTAGTTGCTGTATGTGGG